AAGAAAAAAAATTCAATTCGGAGTATTAGTTTCTGAGATTAGCGCGTTTAAACAAACGAACTTTTCAGCGTTATATATAAGTAGAGATTTCGATTTTTAGCAACATATGCAATATCATGTTGCTTATTGTCACACCGGTTATCGACTATCGAATATCGACTGTATGACATCACTAACCGGCGCCACGAAGCGTCTACGTAAATTACAGAATGCTGTATAATTATCCCCACCCTATTTGTCGATAATTCGATACTAAGCACCATTAATTAGTCCCTTTTTCTTCTTATTAAGTACGCTTGAATCTTGAGAATTCCAAGCTCTATTAACGGACCTTACTGTCTCAGTGACTTACTTAAAATTTTATGCCCCTATCTAAAAATCTATACTCAATCTATACTAATATATAAAGCTGAAGAGTTTGTTTGACTTTATATAACACTTCGCGATGTAACTAATAGGAAGAAATACCGGGAAATGTGGAGAAAACGGGGAAAATTATTTATCTTAGAGGGTTTCCAATCCATACGCTGCGAAAACGGTTCAAGATACCCAAAAAATATTTATAACTATTCTAAACGGACGAAATCGCAATTAAATCGAATCGCAAGTAATGTATATATCAACCTGCTACGGGAACGCCACCTGTTTCTCATAGTTGATATTCGAAATAGAAACAGGTGGCGCTAACGTGGCTCATTTGACGTTGACAGTAGGATCTTCCATCTTGAGACCCCCCATGATCATGGCTGCTGCAAAGCACCCGAAACGTCGGGCCGTAGTTAAATAAGCTACTAATATATTTCGAATTTTAAACCGTTAAAATCGTTTTATTTACATATTTACTCCTCGCGTAAACTACCGACAGTGGTTTATGTATTTAATTTAGTATCGGATCATATGACATTTGAGATTTAGACATTTGAATGACACATATAAAATCTGAATCGCTTAGCTTCGCCGTCCGTTAAAAATATATGACATTTACGTAAAGATGTATGCAGTCCCTAATGGACACGTGCAAAACTGTTAACTGGACATCCATTAGCCATACAACATTGTTGGGGACTTAATACATTGTATCGTGCGCTAACTTGTTGAGACAAGAATATATCGTTGAAATATATAATAGTTTACGCGAGTGGTAGATAAACGTTAAACAAATCAAATTTTAACGGTTTAAAAGTACGTATATTGATGTGTTTTAATTTATTGTGACCACTGCTACTATAAGCATCATAAACATCGGGCCGTTGGTAAAATAATTTCTACTTAGTTACTAATACATTTCATTTTAAACCGTTAAAAGTATTTTTTACTACTACTAATTAAATTTGTACTACTCGCGTAAACTATAACCCTTATAGTATTGGGTTTTATAAATTGCTTAATTTTTAACCGAAGACTTTTCTTAAGTAGTTCGCCCTTCGATAAAAGCCTCCTCTAGATGTCTCCACATTTATTTCACCCAAACTCATATAAGTAGTGACAACAAGAAAGAAAAAACAACTATTTTCTTCCCCCTTTAAGTTTTAAACCCGTTTAATTTATCGCTATTATGTGAAATAATAATATTTCTCCAACGGTTTAATCATTTAGTTTAGACCCACCATTCTGCTTCCGTCATGTGTTATTGGATATATACGATAAATGTGAAGCAGTTAAATCTAAATATAAAACTTTTAACGGTTTAAAACGCGAAATAGCTACCTTATAGTTCATTTATTTTAATTTCGATAAGAATTGTTAAAAAAAATTGTCAGTCCCAGGATTCGAAGCCTGGATACCGCGGACTGCAGTTACTATTAGAATGACGACGTGAAAAATAAAATTGGAAAACAAAATGCAACAATGAATGTTTTATTGCTCTGTCTGTGTCGCACAATAAAAATAAAATCCCTATAACATGGCTGTGAAGTTTTGTCCGTAGCGTCATGGGCGCAGTGGTCACGTGATCACCTGTTCGTGATAGACGACAGACAAGGGGTTGACGTGATGGTAGGTGAGGCACCGCAGCCATATAAGGGGTCATCCATAAAGTACGTCACACGAATTTCATGATGTTTTGAGCCCCCCCCGTCTTTGTCACAGGTGGTCAAATTTCTGAGACCCCCCTCCCTAGTGTGACGTCACATGTTTTGCAATTTCACATCGAAAAATTATTAAATTAAAACAGCACTTCCGAAATTCGTTTTATTTCGTTATTCCATAGAGTTGGAAATATTTTTTAATTAACTTAGGACCCCTCCCATCCCTTGTCACACCATGACATACTTTGTCGACCCCCCCTTTACGTGTGACGTACTTCATAGATGACCCCTAAGATCTAAACAAGATGTACTGCCGAACAATTTTGGCCTAGATATTTAGAAAAAGACAGACTAAATACTGCCTTAGTTCACGCGAGTAGTACACATTTAAATAAAACACTTCAACGGTTTAAAACGCAATATTTACAGTTTATAGTTGCACTTATTTTAAAATTATTTAACTATGGTGTCCCGGTGCCGGTGCAAAGTATCCGAAACGTCGGGCCGTAGTTTAACTAATTTTCAAATAAGTGCGACTGATAATTTTCGCGTAAACCGTTAAAAGTGTTTTATTTAAATGTGTACTCTCGCAAACTAGATACAGTATTTAGTACGATTACCAATTAATGTCGTTTTTGACATTTGAGCTATCCCCAAATATAGGCTCCAGAAAATAACTAATTCATTTGCGGGGAATTGTATTCGTATGTATAATACATTGTCTATAAAATAAGTTTAAAAAAGTAATAAAATTTAGATTGTCACAAAGGCGTATTATTGTTTAAAAGACTTCTTTAATAACAGGGCCGTCTGGCACTAATAGGAATTGCCCCTATTCACAAAATTCTATTAGTTTGTAAGACATGTTGAAAAAAGTGTTGTTCTCGGTTATGTTGCTCTCCTGAACACTCTGTAGAATCACGACGAACGGACAGACAAACATATTTTTACGTAATTTCATTTCAGAGAATAAAGTATATTTTATTTTTGATTCCAACCCAGAACCTCTACTAGCCCATATACAATAGTACCCTTATGTAAATTAAATGTCAAACACCACAATAAAACCGATCTACCAAATTCATATAATTACATATATAACATACTATAATTACCTAACTACCGCACAGATTAGATCTATCAAAGGAATACGTCTTGCAATATTTTGCTCTAATGAGAATAATAATACAATGTGACATTTTTATGTCCCTTATACTGATCAGACTGACTGACAGAACCGGGATTCGAACCCGAAACCTCTGGCGCGAAAACAATGATTTACTAACACTATTATATATTCTATTACTTCGGTATTATAATTGTAAATTTTGCCTACTAAATAAAGATTAAAAAAAAACTGTAACGATGGACATTGTGTTTTATTTAAAGATAGAAATTTATACTAATATTATAAAGCTGAAGGGTTTGTTTGTTTGAACGCACTAATCTCAGACAAAGTCGTGCGTGACAAAGCAAAAAAAAGTTAAAAGCTAAAAATAATAAATAATAATAATAATAAATAAAGCTGACGTCGCGGGCACAGCTAGTATTATAAAATTTCGTTTTATTCTCCTCTGAAAAACGACCCTATCACCTGAGATTGATAGAAGTGTTGCCTTATTGAGTCGGGAAGATAGATGTGTAGTTATTGAGATCCTACTTTAGAGGTAGAAAGCTGGTTAAGAATACTTTGTTACAGAGATCAGCCTGGGAGGCGAAAAAGCCATAACATCTCACCAAGATGCGCGGTCGGCCTATTTTTAGCTTTGATTGATTTAGATTTTGAGTGCTAAGTCTCTTTGACAAATTCTTTATTCGCAGACTATTTGTACTTTATGCTCTGTCGAAATATTTCAGCTTCGGATGTATAGATATACTAGCTGTGCCCGCGACTTCGTTCGCGTGGAATAGTGACTTGGGGTATAATTTTTATTTAGGCTGTTTATTAATTTATATAATTGCGCATTTATCGCAGCCAATCTACGTTTGTAGGTGCTACTTTGCCGCAACACTCTCACCTCACATCAGTCCTACTTTAACTCCCACTCCCATTTCCACGCCCACGCCCACGCCCACTCCCACTCCTATTCCCAAAAAGACAAAGAAGAAAGTTTCATTGTTCTAGCTTCAAAAATCACGGGTAAGGGGGGGAGGGGGGAAGTTTCAAACTTCACCCCCCCCCCCCTTTAGTAAAGGTGTTTGTCACTGAAAAATCGATTTTAGATTGAAAAAAAAAACGACACGGTCGGGACTTGAACCGGCAACCACAGCGTTATGTGCTGGCTCTAACCGCGAGTTAGCTCAATTGGTTTTTAATTTAAATAATACAATAGCATGTTAAGTTTTCAAATGTTTGTCACTTCTTCCTACTTCTTACAAAAGAAAACGGCAGAATGGATTTTGATAAATCTATACTAATATAATATAAAGCTGAAGAGTTTGTTATTTTGAACGCGCTAATCTCAGGAACTACTGGTTAGGATTTAAATAAAACACTTTAACGGTTTAAAACGCGATATATTAGTTAAACTTATTTGAAAATGATTTTGAACTTCGGCCCGACGTTTCGGATGGTTTGCAGCTTTATGCTTTGCACAAATCATTTCCAAATAAGTTCAAAACAATACAAAACAAAACAAATCATTTCCAAATAACTTTAACTAATATATCGCGTTTTAAACCGTTAAAGTGTTTGATTTAAATGTGTACTACTCGCGTAAACTATAGACAGTATTTACTGGTTAGAATTGAAAAATACTTGTGTCGGTTTGAGCATTTATCGAGGAAGGCCATATCTAGACAATAAGACACGCTGCGACTAATAAGAGTGAAGAAATAGCGATAAATGTGGATAAAACGGGGAAAATTATCCGTTGCGTACGCTACGTCAACGGTTCGAGATACTCAAAAAATATATATGAAATAACTATTCTACGCGGACGAAGTCGCCGGTACAGTTGGTTTTAAATTTACCTCGTTGAACCTTCGAATTAGCGCCCGTACGCTACTCTTTGTCTGGGGGAGATGAGTAGCTGGCGGTCTCCTTATCATCTGCCGTTCCGTCACACTCCCCAACAGACCTTCACCTCCAAGGTCCAAGGTCACCTGTCTTAAGTAATCTATTGGCGGAACCTGGAAAGAAGGAAATCGATTTTAAAAATCGAAAATAAATTCAAAAAAAATCTCAACTCGGGCAGCACTTGAACCGGCATCGTCAGCTATCCGTGCTGTTGCTCTACCAATTGAGCTACCGAGTCGGTATATTTTAAAATTATACAGTGCCTTCCTGTGTGAAAATTGGTATTTAAAAAAATGCTTAACGTAACGTCGGGCCGTAGTTAAATAAATTTCAAATAAGTTTAAATTTTTAGTTTCGACGTGGTCGTTGGTCTAATAGTAGCAATGTATGGCTAATGAACAACGGGTCGTGGGTTCGTTTCCCTTATCTAATTGTTCAATTTATAGTTTTTCTGAAACATGCTGGACTTCGTCTGGAAATGGGTGGTATCAATATAAAAATTCCGCCCGGAACACGGACCACCGTCCACAGATGAAAAAGCCGTGAAGTGAATCGCGTTACGGTTTCAGTCTGTGGATTTCCGAATATCCAAAACCAAATTAGGTAGACAGTGCATCTTGTTTAGATGCCATGTCTGTCCTCCTCTATCATAAAAAATACTAATATATACCGTGTTTTAAACCGTTAAAGTGTTTTATTCAAATGTGTACTACTCGCGTAAAGTACAGACAGTATGTTTACGCTTTGGTGTGTGTTTTGAGTATCTATGTGAAATTCTGTAATCTCTTCTTGGAGTATGGGGTATAATACTGTGTCTGTTTGAAAAATTCATTTACAGTCAAGAAGTTAAATACAGACTATAGTTTACGCGATAAGATTTTAAAAATAACGGTTTGAAACGCGTAATATATTTGTTACGCTTGTTTACCATTTTTTTTTAACTACGGCCCGACGTTCGGGGTTGCTTATCACAGGGAGCCGTCATTCGTTATCGATAGGGACATATACAATAAATTTGACTAAAATATTTCGTTGTTACTATTAAAGTTACTAAACAAATACTGTTAAAGTGTTTTATTCGACAAGTAGTCGCTGAGATTGTGTTTGTTTTTGTTTTCGCATTATTTGAACCCGGGACCCTATAGCTCTTAAACCCCTAACCCCGGAGGTGCATGACCGCTTGAAATGTTTTTAAATACATTTGGTTATTATTTTAAGCTACCGTATCCTACACATCATCGTCGAATTTTTCAAACTACTGATACATGCGCCATACATTGAGAGGACACGGTAGCTCAGTTGGTTAGAGCAACAGCACGAAACGCTGTGTATGCCGGCTCGAGTCCCGCGCGTGTCGTAAGTTTTCGTTCTAAAATCGATTTTTAATTCAAATTTATTTCCAAAACTAATTTTAAAGACGTGTCGAGAAATTAAAAATAACTTGTAAATCGTTCAAAGTAAAACTAAGTACGACTACAGAGTATTCGAACTGGAAGAGCGGCTGAACGTAACGCGTTACGTAACCAATCAGTTCACACTCCCACAAGAAGTTATCACTTCAAATAACTCTGTCTCTATAATATTTACGAAGTAATCAGCTCGGCATAACGCTACACCCTGTATAAATAATACGGTGTTAGTTGGATTTGAAGGCTTGTGGCTTGTTCGTTTCTACGCACGTGTTCTGTACGAGAATGGTCTAGTTAGGTTGGCACAGGATACATAAAAAACAGAGGGCGTACTTACTAAAAAAATATTATTTATGCTTATGTATAAAGCTGAAGAGTTTGTTTGAACGCGTTAATCTCAGTAACTACTAGTGTGAATTAAAAAGAGTGAAAAAACAGCGGGAAACGTGAAGAAAACGGGGAAAATTATACATATTTATATATAATATTCGTTGTTATTCCTTACACCTACCCACTAAATAAATTATTTTATATTTCTTTTCGCCTGTACTTCAGGTTGCCTGGAAGAGATCGCTACTTAGCGATAAGGCTGCATTTTATTTATAAGTTAGCACGTAAGGTTTTTCCTCAGTTATATGTATTTTCTGTGGTGTGTTTTATTATTTATAAAGCAATAATAAATAATCAATATTTGTGAGTTTCTGTTACCTATGCTGCGAAAACGGTTTAAGCTACTCAAAATCTTTGCACGAAAGAATGATTCCCCTTTAAATGATGTAAAAAAAAACTATACTATATGTGTATCTTTTAATATGAATTTGCACGAATGACGGGACACAAAGTCGCTGACACAGCTAGTTTGTTTATAAAATACGAATTCTTTCTTACCGACTTGTTCACTCTGTAGTACTCAATACGTCGACACAGGGACTTTTTGAAATGATGGACCCGGTGGGGATCAAAATCACGACCCGTTGATTAGCCATACAATGCTACCGAACGAGTCAAATAACAATCGCTTTAACATAATTCTATGTATGTTTTTAAATAAAACACTTTAACGGTTTAAAACGCGATATATTAGTTAAACTTATTTGAAAATGATTTTTAACTTCGGCCCGACGTTTCGGATGCTTTGCAGCAGCCGTGGTCACGGTGAGACTAAAGATGGAGGACCGAAGTTAAAAATCATTTTCAAATAAGTTTAACTAATATATCGCGTTTTAAACCGTTAAAGTGTTTTATTTAAATGTGTACTACTCGCGTAAACTATAGACAGTATGTATGTATGTTTAATAACTTTTCACGCGCTCTTAAATCCTGTGATAGCAGTGATTTAGGTTCGATTCCCAGTGGGTCCGATATGAGCTGAATTCTGAAAGCTAAAATAGGTCGATAGCGCATTATTAGATAAAACAGGAGTTTTGAATTTTTTTTAAGTACTCCAATTTGGAGTAGCCTCGACGGCGTCACTGACGCGAGTGGTGTTCTGGTTCGTTCAGTATTCTGTGGATATTGGTTCGTGAAAAGGTCGTAAGTAGGAGATAAAACAACTTCGCAATCAGTTCTCGTTAGGGCCTTTATAGTTCGCTTTATGACCCATATAAATGATGACGTCACAGTTCACTGGATCCGAAATGGATTACTGCATTTCTGGAGTCTGTGCTAAATCGAATTAGTAATTCGATATTTTGATGAGTTTCTAATGAGTTCGCGAGAGCTTTGTAAAAATACTATTTTAAGTATCGTGTTTAAAACCGTTAAGACGCTAACTACTTATTCAAAATATTCTTAGGAGTGTAAGTAAAGATATAAGGTACACTGAACAGTTTTGTCCGGCACGTTGGTAGCAATGTACGGTTAGTAATCAACGGGTCGTGGTTTAACTCCTGTCGGGTCATGTGTTGAAAATCTTTTTACATTATTTTATAAAACTTTTTTTTGAACTTCATCTGGAGATTTGGAATGTTATCGAGTCTCGGTTTTAGCCTGTGCATTTTCAAATACCTAATAATGTCATTATAGGTCGAGAGCGCACCGTGTTAGATTTTATATTTGTAGTGTGTGTATTTCACCCTCCATTAAGCGAACCTATAATGATATTTCTGCTCCTCTGTAAAACGGGAGTAGAATAAATGTATTTCGCGTTTTAAACCGTTAAATTGTTTTATTACGTTGCGTTTACCCTATTTGTTACAGTGGTTCTATTGTTGATCTACGATCAGTTTTCGGAATACGTAACGAACGAAACATTTGCATAATTTCGCACTTGACTAAGTTACTAAATGTTCAAAAGCCAAGTCATAACAGGAAACAATATTATTCTTCAAAGGGATTTCTATAGCTAGAATGAAGGAATATCTTTTAAATAAAACACTTTAACGGTTTAAAACGCGATATATTAGTTAAACTGATTTGAAAATGAGTGTCAGTCTCCCCGTGGTCACGGCTGCTGCAAAGCATCCGAAACGTCGGGCCGAAGTTAAAAATAATTTTCAAATAAGTTTAACTAATATATCGTGTTTTAAACCGTTAAAGTGTTTTATTCAATTGTGTACTACTCGCATAAACTATAGACGGAATATCTTTTGCAGACCGTCTCGCTTTTGCAACGTCATCAGTTGAAATAAATAAAAAAAACCGTTTAATCTAAATTAAAAAAAAAACGATTCAAGATTGAACGATGCGTAGAGCTTGAACTGCTGTCGTAAACCAATTAAGCTACCGTAATAAAATTAAAATAAAATATATTTTATTCTCTTTAAAATATTAAAATTTATTAAGATTCGTCAATTTTTTTTAATTTTTTGTCTGTCTGTTCGTCGTGATTCTACAGAGTGTTCAAAAGAGCAAAATAACTGAGATGAACTAATACCTGCCAAATGACAAGACTGCCAGGCGGTCTTGTCATTAAAGAAATCTTTCAATAATACGCCTTTTGAGACAATCTAGATTGTATAACTTTTAAAATTGATTTATCAATAAAGCGTGTCATCGTCATCGTCATTTTTTCACCGTATTGATACACCTCTCCAGCTATAGTTCTATGTATTTCGCGTTTCAAACCGTTAAAAGTGTTTTATTTAAATGTATACTACGTATAAGCTAAAGTGAATACCAAATTTTAAATTGTACGCCGCTCTACCTATGTAATGTTATTTAGACTAAGTCTGCTGACAAACAGACGAACAAACTTATACTTTGGCATTTATAATATCAGTAGGACGTGTAGGAATCGTGTACATCATTACATAAACAAATGAATTAAATGACATTATGAGTTTCTACATTTTGACATTGCCGTTGGTGTAATAGTAGCAATACATGGCTGATAAACGATGAGAAGTGGGTTCGATTCCCACCAGGTCCAATATATTTTTAATCAATTATATTTTTTTCTGAAACATGTCGGACATTTTAAAAGATCGATATGAAATGGACGGTTGGAATATAATAATTCGGCTCTATCACGAACCACCGATAAAGAAGCCTTGAATTTTAATCGCGTTTCGGTAACGTCTCTAACCAATTTACAATTTTTCTAAAACATGTTGGACATGGATATTTGGACACTGGATATCTGGATATTAAGTGGGTGGTTGGAATATCGACATTCCGTCCATATGTCAAACGGACGTTTACAGATGATGTGTTTTCAACGAACACCACTCTCATGAACTTCAAATTTTATTTACACCTCTTCT